ACAGTTCTCACATTTCTCACTTTGCCTTTTGCCCATTAAAAATAAAGTGCCATTTAGCCCTGTGTGATCCACCCTTAGCCTTGTCATTATAATTTCCTCTCTCCTGTTTTTTTCCATGTAATTTTAATACTGACAGATTTTTGTAATTTATAATAAACATCACCTTCTTCCTTCAACTGCTTCTTTTATATCCTCTCCAAACATTCACGCTCTCGTTTGCCACCGTAATCAACTCTAATTTCGTTCAGCTGTGAATTATTTCTCTGTGTTTTCTCTTTAGGTCGGCCATGACGGTAAACCGGAACCGGCCTGATGTTACCCCAGAAGTGCTCCCCCGGGGGACTATGCACCGAATTTTGGTTCCGGCTTAGTCACCCGGTGACACATTCATCATTAAAAACAATTTAATCCTCATTCCATTTTAAGTGATTCCACTGCTGCCATCAAGAGTGAAATACCTACACTAACATATCCATTAAACAGACACAATTTTCAAAATTAAAATCAGTGTTAGCACAGATGATGGTTATTTCTGTGGTTATTTTATCTTATCTTATTTATTTATCTTTATTTGATATGGACATAACAACAGCATTGGACAAACCAGATACATTGTTTTTAGTGTTATAGCAAAACTGCTAATTTGCAACACATCATCACTATGCATCTCATACAGCATTACCATGTGTGTAGCTTTGACTTGACTTCAGCAATTTTTTCAGACCTCTGTCAAAGCTGAGCATGTCTGTCTGCAGTTTTAAGTCAGTATTTGTGGATTGGTTTACTGTCTTTATGTCATAATGCAGTCGGATGTTAGTCTTGTTTTCTTGCTCTTCTTTGCTCTTCTTTCTTTGGCCACTATTGACCCTTCAAAATGTGTCCACTTTCCTCCTACCGTTCAGTTCCTTCTCCATCCAAATTCGGGCATAGCACCTCTGTTCTTCCACTTCTTTACAAACCACCGAAAAGCACCAAATTATATCTGATTTAGAAGAGCTGAATATGTATTGAACATGTGTAATTGATAACTTTTTAAAGATGTACTCTTGGAGGGCCAAGACAAGAAATGACATAATGATACATTAACAAGTAGGGCTGCATGATTAATTGCAACGAAACCGCACGCGATTTGGCAAAGGCTGTGATTATTTTATGCGCAGCTTGTCAATGTAGTGCGGCTGATCGGTAGGAGCCAGTGGTACCCATATTTTCAAAGAAAGAGCAGTTTCTCCCTTCCTGGGCCCCAAGAGGGATAGTTGGCGGTGTGTGACCCTGCAAAGCCTTGCACCCTTCAGCTCCCTCTTGTTCGCCAGCCGGCACCTGGATGCGATTCGAGGACCTGGTCATCCGCCTTCTCACGCATCCCCTGCCGCTTGTGGAGTCAGGTAAGTGCTGTACTGCACACTCAGACCCTCCTTCGGGCCACCTCCGGGCCTCTCGAGTTGGGTCCCTGTTCTCCACCTGGGTCGCTGGACCTGTGTCAATTGAAACGGGCCCTTTTTCGAAAACCTCTGATCAATTACTAACACAGAGATGCATTTTCAAATGCTCCCCCCCAAGGTTGGCCGGCAGCGTTCGACCTGAAGGATCTCTTTCCTTCCGCTCCACAGACCATTCTGTGTTCTTGCGTTCGAAGGTACGAAGTATCAGTACAAGTCCTACTCTTCGAGTGCTCCATAGCCAGTTGGGTCTTCAGGTCAACTGGGAGAGAGTAATCTCGCCCACGGGCTGAGTATCTCTTTTTCAGTTCAGGAGATGGACTCGGTTCAACACGTCTCTTCAAGAAGAGTGTGTTAGGCTAGTGCTAGAAGTGAGAAGGGTCCCACTGAAAAAAAATTTCAGAGGCTCCTGGGGCATATGACAGACGCAGCCGCTTGGGTTCCTCCATATAAAGACCGCTTCAGCACTAGTTTTATGATCGAGTCCCGAGGTGACCGTGGCAGAGCAGCACGCCCTGTGTGATAAAAGATACCCCGGCCTGTCGCCAAACGCTCAGCCCGTGTTCAGACCTGCAGGTCCACTAACACTGACTGAGGGGCCATGTACAAAGGGCATGCTTTAACGGAGGCCTGGGCGACCTCCGACTGCATTGGTATTCGTTACCTCGAGTTGGCAGTTCACCTCGCTTTGAGCCACCGCTGCTCAGCGAGCTGGTACTGGTCTGAAAAGACAACATCGCGACCGTTGTGGTAAGCTTCCCTCGCATGTCACAACTCGCCCGTCACCTCCTCCTTGGAGTCAGAAGCTTCTGAGGTCGCTTCATTCCACTATAAAATTCTTCCGGCCTGCTCAATCGTGCCGCCAACGAGCCTCACGACAGCTATGCCCAGGGAGAGTGGAGACTCCATCTCCTGGCGGTCCAGCTGGGCAAGGACCACTTCGGGGCCGCACAGTTACATCTGTTGCCTCTCCGGACTCGTCCCTCTGCCAGTTGTATTTCTGTCTGAGTGGACATGCCTTGGACAGACACTGGCTCTCAGCTGACCCCGGGGCCCCACAGAAATGCGTTCCCCAGTGAGCTTTCTAAGAAAGCGGCTATGCGATTCATTATCGCTTGGTGCTGCTCAAGTTCAGTGATTTTCATCACACTCAGGTGTTGAGCAGAAATGCACCTGAAGCTCAGTGAATTTCATCACACTCAGGTGTTGAGCAGAAATGCTCCTGAAGCTCAGTGAATTATCACACTTAGGTGTTGAGCAGAGTTGCTCCTGAGCTCAGTGAACTTATCACACTCAAGTGTTGAGCAGAGATGCTCCTGAAGCTCAGTGATCTTCACATCTAGTGTTGAGCAGTGCTCCTGTCTTGTGCGCGCATGTCGCTTGCATTTACTGTGCTAAGTCAGGAGTGGAACAGGTCTTGATAGTTGCCCCGTATTGGCCCAACCAGATCTAGTTTCCAGACAGCCTTCCTGACTTCCCCTGAATACATTTCAGGGATGGGGTATGATGGCACCCACGTTAACCCTCTGGGGTCCTTCGGCCCAAATGGACCCGAAGCATTTAAATATATATATTTTTTAAATCATTGCTTTATCGGAATGGTCCGAAATTTGGTGACTTTGTTGGTACTTGGCATATGAACACCCCAAAAAATTGGGGACAGGATTTGAATAGTCTAAGTGGTTGTAAAAAAAATAGTCACACTCAGGACCTTCGGGTCCAAATGGACCCGCATAGGAAATGAATGGGAAATTGGCAAAAATGTGAAAATACAGAGTTATTTTGTGCGTACAAACTACAAATCAGCCACGATCCAGAAAAAAAGCACACAACAGTGAAGGGG